TTGCAGAGGTGGCAGCTCCAGCGCGGGTTCCGCCCCCGGGTGGGCAAAGGGACCGAGGATTCCTTCCTCCCAGGCTCACCTGCAGGCGTGTGACCACTTCGCCCACAGCTTGGCCAGGGGCCCCATCGAACCGAAGCGTGATCGCCTCCCCGCGACTGTGGTACAGGTCGAGCTGCTGCTCCGAGAAGGTCCAGGCCAGCACGTCACGACAGGCGCAGTTGAAGATGACACGGCTGTCACGCGGCGCCACCAGCACCAGCGTCTCCGCGGAGATGCCCAGCAGACAGGGCACCTCGGCACTGTCCGGGCTTCCCACTTCGGATCCCACTGCGACCCGCGCCCCTGGCGCCGCGCGCACACCCCAGGTCAGCGCACCCGTCGCCTGCAGCTCGCAGCCCGGGCTCCGAGGGGTGGCCCGTCGTCTGCCACCCAGGGAGGGCAGGCCAAAGCGCGAGGCCGAGTCCAGCGATGTGGTGGTCACCTCATTGGTGGCCAGGTCCTGTAGGTACTGCTGGCGCGTACGTGTGGCCATGGCATGGAACTGGCGTGCGTGCCCGGCTGCCTGCTCACCATTGAGTGCCTTGGCCAGCAGGAAGGACCGAAAGTCAGCATTGGCTGCGAAGGGGCCTCCGCCAGGGGGCAGAACGGGCCCAAAGGCTGGAGTGTCCTGAGTGCGGCTTACAGCCACCCTGCATGGAGGAAGGCTGCCATGAGGGAGGGCAGGGCAGGTCCAGGACTCAGGGCCAATGGGAGACCTAGGGCTACCCTGGCCCCCACCTGTATGAGGTGTGCGGGGTGCAGGGCGCATGCGCCCTCACCACTATGAATACATGCTGGAAGTGAGAGCGGATGGTGGTGGGGCAGAAGGGTTTGCTGCCAGGCTCCTGGAACACGATGGTCACAATGTCATTGCCAATGTGGCGCTTCCTCAGGAGCTGGGGATTAGATGGTGAGTGGTGTTAGCGGGGCTATGTGACCGCTTGAAACCCTCCTCATTTGGGGCAAGGGAAAACCATGGCACCAGTGGCTTCCCACCTACCCCTGGAAAAGGCCTGAGATGTTTGTCTTTGGGAGGGTGCCACCAAGGCCAAGGTTCAAAGATTGCCACCCTCGCAGCACCCTCCACGGTTCCCCAGGAACCCCTGGCCATTCCCCAGACCCATCCTAGACCCCTCACACCTGCTGCTGGTTATTAGGGGTGTAAGGCAGCATCGTGGAGACGTGGAACATGATCTCGTGGTCCTGGTACATGGTGTAGAGGGAGTGTGTGCCTGTGGAATCCGCTGTGGCCAGGGAGTTGGGGACACAGAGAGACAGCTAAGAGAATCTGAGAGACTTGAACTTGCTGTCCCTGTTCACATTCAGGAGCTTCCATGCCCTAGCCAGTAGGTGGACAACCCCAATGCCCAGGCCACCAAGTCCAAGGGCCTCAGCCTTGGATGCTCCCCATAAGCTGTAGCCTCACACCAGGGTGAACGAAGACAGAGTGAAGACACAGTGAAAAACGGTCTCAGAGGAAGGCAGGAGGTGGGTGTCCTAGGAGAGGACGGATGTTGGCATGAGCACGTGGGGCATACTGGCAGAGTGGAAGGCAGGCAGATACCCTGGGGCCTAACATCTACGGAGGAAGGGGTGCTCCCCCCAGAGGCCAGGCTTCTGGCATGTGTTAGATGGAGGGGGTTGTGCCCTTAAACCACTTGGTTGCAGCTCAAATAACAGGACACCAGGCTCTTGGGCAACAGTCCAGGTCTTCCTCCTACCACCTGGCTTTGTAGCCAGATTTATCCTCAACCTACCCAAAGAACTCTCCAGCCTGCAGCCCCAGCCTTTGGCCAATATGGACGGAGTGACAAGGTGGTTAGTTTGCCCCTCACGTGGGACTGCCCCTGCCCCTCCAGAGCCCTGTGCCTCACTTTTGGTGTCCAGCTGAGCCCGGTAGCTGTCAAAGCCTTTGAGCCGCACCACATCGCCCAGCAAGGTGAGGAACTGCGTGAAGGCCACTCCTGCCTCCTGGTTGTTGTACATCTCTTCCTCAGAGCCCTGGCCGGCACGACAGTATAGGATGCCCACCTTGCGCTGGAAGCTCAGCTGGAGAAAGATCAGGAGAATCTTAGGCCTCAGTCTCCCCCAACCCGCTTCCACTGTGTCATGGGGAAATAAATGGTCAGGACACTGGCCTGGAGGTAGGCTGCGTTGGTGTGATGCCCTGAGCCCTGGCCCTCTCTGAGCCACTTCACTGTCCCCGATAGTCACATGGGTACAGGCCGCCCTGCTCCTAGTGCTCAGGAGCACAGGGAGGTCACAAGTGGGGTGGGATGGGAGGAGGTTGCTTCTCCAGTGACAACAGATTAGGTGAGTCATAGAAAAGACCCTATACACAGTGTACTTGGTCTCAATAAATGTCCACATCAGCATTCTTCTCAACTCAAGGCCACACCGTCGAACCCCCTTCGAATCTGTCCAGCTTCCTGAGGTCTTGAGCCATTTCTACCCCTCCCCCTGCTCCCATTTTTGCACTCTGCTTCTAGCTCCTTTCTATGTGCACACGACCCTGCATGGTTCAAGGCGCTCTGATCCCATTAAAGCAATTCTGGTCCCTTCTCACCTCCCATATTCATAAGCTCAGTGGTAGAGTGCTTGCCTAGCAAGCATGAGGCCCTGGGTTCCATCCCCTGCACCACAAAATAAATAAATTTATGATGGGTGGTGGTGCACACCTGTTACCCCAGCACTGGTAAATTGAGGCAAGAAGATCAAAAATTTGAGTCCAAAGGGCTGGGGTTTTAGCTCAGTGGTTCTGCTGTCTCCCTTACAAGCACAAGGTTCCAAGGTCGATCCCCGGTACTAAAAAAAGTTTTGAGTCCTGCCTGGCAACACAGCAAGACTCTTTAAATAAAGAACAACAACAACAACAACAACAGGGACATAACTCAGCACAAAGGCCCAGGGTTCATTTCTCTGTACCACAAAAGGTAATAACAAATAAACCCACCTACACACTACAGCCCATGGATGCCCCTCATCTTTGCAGCTTCTTGGCCATAGTTGGCACTGGGACAACAGGAACCTCACCTTGCCTGGACCTCTTCTCCACCTAAGCTTGTCCCTTCACTGACTTCAGCAGCCACTTCTAGGGCTCCATCTCTGCTTGAAGCCCGGACTCTTCTCCCAGGCCCATTTCCCCAGCTGTCCGGAGGCCCTTCCAGCACCGCAGCACCTCACCTCCTCGTCGGTCCTTCCCTGTCCCTATCCCTCCTGCAAAGTCCCTGGCTCCATAAAAACACCGCTTCCCTGGGGCAAGAAGCCAGGCGATCTCAGCCCTCCCCGTGTTTCAGTCATTCGCACGAGATATTCACTGTATCCCCGGGACTGTCACCACCACGTCCAGCCAGGACAATAGCAACAGCCTTCAGTTCAGTTGCTGCCCCTCCAGACTTGTCCTCATCCTGGAGTCAGATGTGCTTGGATTCTCTCTTTGGCTCCCCAGCGCCCATGGGACCAAAATCAGGCCTCTCCCTGTCCCTCTCCACCCACATTGAAGCACATGTGACATGCATTCAGTCTCTAGGCCATCACACCAGCTGCTTCTTCAGCCAGCAAGCCTTGCTCAACCCTGTCTGCCCAGAAAATATGCTCTTGCCCTGGCTTAAGCTGTTGCATTTCCTCTGTGGGGTGAAACCTTCCCCCAGGAAGGGCTGTCAGCACCACCTCTGGGCCCCACAGAGCCCTCCACATCCCCTTTCTTTGATCCTGCTCCTGTTTTTGCAGTTCTCTGTGGGTTTCTGTCTCACTCCCAGCTGTGAGGCACTCCAGGAAAGTCCAGACTTATCCCCAGCATCCAGTCTGGGGCCTGACACCAAGAGGATATGAGGCATGTTTGTTGAGTGACTGATGGATCAAATGTTACAGAAGAGAGTCAGGGGCAGTAGGTAACTTTGGGAAGGAGTGAGCAATCCACATTGAGGGGAGACCAAGTTAGGCCTGTGAAGCAAACTGGCCAGGAATGAGGGAACTACAGGATAAGTGAGATCAGGTAGGCCCGGGCTTCAAGGTTGTCAGCTATACTGTACCACCTTGGAGTCTTTACGATGCAACTGATTCAGGCAACAGACTGGAGCCCCAGGTTGTGCATTTCTAGCAAGCCATCAGACCTTGCTTCTGGTTCCTGGTCTCAAACACTGAGGTAGACCTGTTCTCTGGGGCCACTGCCTAGGCCAGCATCAGGTCAGGGGTGGGGGCCCAGGTGCTGCCAGGCTGAGTTCACACCTTCCCTCTTGGCCACTTACCACTTGTTCGTCCAGCGTAAGCAGTGTGCGTGGCACCTTGGGGGATGCTGAGCCGAGACGCAGGCATGATGGGCTCAGCCTTGGTGCCACATGTTCCAGAAGCTTCCTTGGGGACAGGCCACGTGGGGGCCCTGGCGGCAGTGCATCCTCTGAGATGGTTCCTCGCAGGGTCTGGAGCTGAGGAAGAGGTGGAATGGCACTTAGGATCCATACAGTGTTCAGAGGAAGGAACCCATAGCCTTATCCTGTGACCCTGGCCCACCTGTGTGGTCCGTACAATGACACGATAGCTGTGAAAGGTGGCCCCTCCGCTGCCCTCCTTCTCCTCCCGGCGAAGGCTCACTGCCACTGGGCCCAGCTCCTCATCTACCCCGAAGAAGTTCTGATGTTCTGGGGGAAGGAAGGTAAATCTCACCCGAAGGGACCCATCACTAAGTCCCTCCCTCAGCCCTAGCTCACCAAGTGTAGACACTGGGTAAGTCTTGCCCCTCTGCAGCCCCACCCACATCATACCTTGCCCTGGGCCCAGGCAGCCAATGTGTGGCTGTTGTCAAGTTTAAATGCTGTCCAACCCTGCCTGGGACACTCATAGTTTCCACTTCAAGGCCCCAGGCCCTCTTTTCATTGAGATGGTGAGAACAAGATTTCTGAGTACAGGGCTTTCAGGCTTGAGTTTTCACCTCTAGACAGGAAATCTTCTGTCTACAAGGATAACCCAGGAGGCAGGATGCCCAGCCCTGGCCTGGGGGAATGGCCAGGGGTTGGCCTTCAAGGGGTGGTGAGAGGAGGAACCAGCAGAACTCTGGCTCAGCTCCTTCTTATAGCCAAGGGACCTTACAGGAAAAGGACAACTCATGTATTCTGCTGTGTGCCCCACGGGTGACAGGGACCTCTGCCCAAGACCTTCCTGCCTCTCCCTGGACCTGCCTGCCTCTCACCTTTGCCATAGAAGTACTTGCGGTAGTAGCCAGCACCCAGGTCTGCATGCTCCAGGCTGTAGGCTGTGGTCCGGTTCTGTGGCTCTTCCAGAATGGACACAGCCGCGTTGGGAAGTGCAGGGGGAACAGGTGGGGACATCGGTCCACCTAGGCCTAGCTCACCCTCACCCCCAAGCTCACTCACAAAGCCAGGTGCCCCAAGCAGCAGATCTGAGCTGGCAGCCTGGTCCTCAGCTGAGGCTGGAGTTGAAGAGCTGGCCTCCATGTGGCCCCGTGGCCCCCGTGGTGGTGGAGCCCAATCAAAGAGCAGGCTCTGCACGTCATAGTGAGCAAACCACCGGGGCTCCAGCACTGGTGGGAAGGTGGGCTCTGGCTCCTCAGCAGGTAGCCCCAGCAAAGCCAGTGGGTCAGTGAAAAGCCGCGTGGGGACGGCAGCAGGACGGCTGGCATCCTCATGGCTGTGAGCCCGGGCTCGGGGACTGGCTGGGGTAGGAGGCCGGGCCTCGCCTGCATCGCTGCCACTGCGTAGGAGTGGGCTCCGGGATGGCCTTGGCTCAAAGGTGTGTGGTGTCAATGGGGGCCTGGCTGGCTGGCGCAGCTTGCGGGCAAAGAGGTCATCGGTGGGCACAGGGGCCGTGCCCTGCCGCGGGCTCCCCACACCACCAGTCCACATGGGCATGCTCTGTGGGCCTGGCTCTCTGGGGGCTGGGCTGCATTAGCAGACACGAGTATTTGGTGACCAGCCGGCAGGCTGAGGTTGCAGCAGTGGTTCCTGCCCTGAAGGAGAAGGGTGCTGCTCAGAGGGGCCTGAGGAGAAAACAGGAACCCAGGCCCCCAGCCTGGTCCTCCACCACCCCGATTGGCTTCCGGCCCCCTCTGAGACCATCAAAGCTGCTTCCGCTTTCCTGGCCACTTCCTTGTCTGCCTAAGGCTGAGGTTTCCAGCCCCCTCCTGGCTTGGTTTCGGCAGGGTCAGGTCCTGGATGAGAGACTTTGGCCCTGAGGGTCCTAGAGCCTGGGCAGCCCAGGGGCTGCTAGTCTCCCAGTTCCCCTGCAGACACCTTGGCTGTGGTCTTGGGCCCAGAGTGAGGGTCCCCACCAAGGCCTGGCCCAATCAGGCAGACAATTCTTTTCGATTAGGATGGGAAACCTCTGGGGCCAGGGTTGTCTAGGTCCTGCTCAATTGACAAAGGGAGGACGTCCTGTCCCCAGAGACCTTCCTCCCTGCACCTCCCACTTCCTTCTGGGTCCCAGAGGAGCTGAGCACCCAGAAGCCTGCTGCCAACGCCCTGGCTCCTACATCCCTAATACTGCAAGGACACAGGGGCTCTCAGGAGTAGCTGCAGAGCAGTAGGAATGACAAGAAGACTTCCTTCAACACAGGAAATGGCCCCAACTTGGCCCACCCCTTGCCTATCCCTCACATCCTGAGGAAGATGCCGGGGTCATACCGATTCAGTTATGGGACCCAAGTCACCCTGGCCTTAAGGGCAGACCTGGGCTCTCCCACTTGCAGGTGCTGTGCTCAGACCTGAGGAAGAGAGGGAGTTATGCAGACTGGGTCCCTTTGCTAGAACAGGAACCCATGGGGATCTCTGTCTACTGGTTTCACTGATGTGGACAGGTATATCTGAACCCCTTGTGACAGAAGGTCAAACTGAGGTCCTAAAAGGTGATGCTTCTGGCTGAAGCAATTCCACATTAGAGCTAGGATTTGAACCTGGGTCCATCAATCCCCAGGGCCTTAACAGAACTGCACCTGCGCATTCCTTTCCGGGCTGCCCTGTGTGCGGAGATGTAGGGGTGGTGGGGGATGGGCTGAGGTTCATGGTCTCACAGGATGTGAGACTCAGGCACTCAAGGCCCCAGGGACCTGCTGAGCACGGAAATGTGGCAAGACCAGGGGCAGGTGTAAAAGGTGGTGTGAGAACATGAGGTAGAACCACCCCCCAGATGACCCTCAACGGAGGTGGCAGCTAGGGCAGGGGCCTGGGAACCTATCCTGGGGATGCAGGTAGCTACTGGTGGGTCTTGGCACACATTGTAGGAGGAGGGCTCTACACAGCCCTCAGCTTCGCCTCTGGAACCAAACAAGGACATGCCTCCGAAGCCCAGAGGCCTCCTATGCTGGTTTCTCCTAGGACCAGCTCTGATGTTGACCTTGAATCTCTATTTTCTCATCTCTAAAAAGGGGTTAATTATTCCAGTCCCCTCTCAGGGCTACTGGGAGACTGAAGCTAGCCATCTATGTGCAAGGCAGACAGGCTCCCTGTGAAATGCTCTAGGCACGCTCATGCAGACTTGGGTCCGGGTTGGGCTGTAGGGGTGAGAAGGAGGGAAGGGTGTGTGTGGGACCCTGTTCCACATGGACTAAACTCTGTATGTTTGAGTGAGCTCTTCGAACGTGTGTGCCCAGCCCATGGGCTGCTTTGGGCTCTGCCCCCCATTCCACAGCTTCACACAGGGTCCATTGAGGCCGGGACATTCTTTGCAGCCTATGTCACTGAGGGGGAAGGGGCAGCCCCGCCCCCACAGATCCGGAAGGCCTGGCTGCCCCAAGAGGAGGCGCTGGACGCTTCCCAGCACATCTGGAGGTCACGACCCCATTCCTGCTGCCAGGGGGCGCGACAGATGTTTCCTCCCTGTCCAGGCCTGAGACTGGGAGGCAGTGTGCAAAGGCTGGGGAGGAGGCCGCCAGGGAAGAGGAACCCCAGAATAGGGGGAGCCCATGCACAGGGCAGCAGGGGTAGTCGCTCGAGCTCCCGAGAGCAATTAGGAGTCACTGAGTCCACTCACCGGCTCAAGGGCCGGGTAAGGCCGTCACGAAGAGGAAGCGGTAGCCGTTGGCCTAAGAGAGGGGACTGGACACGCTGACTCCAGGCTGAGCTGGAGCCAGAGAGAGACTGCAGTGTGCAGGCAAAGGCTCCAAAAAGCTCGTGCCCCCACCCACAGCCCACGGCCAGGCCACCTGGTACTATGTCTGGCCGACCCCGGTGCCTCCCATTCCCAGCTCCCGCCAATACCTCTGGTGCTCCCGGGATCCCGCCCG